TAGACCAGTGGTTCTCAACCTTGGCTGCACATTAGAAGCACCTGGGAGTCTTTTTAAAATCCTGATTTCTGGGCCTCATCCTCCGGAAATTCTGTTTCTTTGTTATGGGGTGAGGCCACAACATTAGTAACAAAGAAACAGAATTTCTGGAGGATGAGGCCCGGAAATCAGGATTTTAAAAAGATTCCCAGGTGATTCTAATGTGCAGCCAAGGTTGAGAACCACTGGTCTACAGGGACGATAAAGACCAGCTAATGTCTGTCTGCTCCTTTCATCACCATCCCCATGTCGCTTATTGTGCGTCAGAAACGAGTGTTCCCCTTGCACGGGCTGTCCAATCCCAACCACAGCCTTTTGTGGGTAAGGAAACTGAGGCCTGGAGGGAGTCCATGGGCTCACGGACGAGGCGGGCAGGTGGTGAAATCGGGACTCCGGAGTCTATGCATACACCACCCCATGCTGTTCAGCACCTGGCCTCCTCCACGCGTAGCCCAGTTCACGCACTGCTGCGAGGCTGGGTCCACGGTCACCTCCTCCTCCCTGTTCATCTGAGAAACCACCTTCAGGGGGTCTTTCCATGTTCAATACTATCCGAAGTCTCATGGCAACACTCTGTACTGTTAACAAGGATCTCTCAGAACTCTTTCTAAATAAAAGATGGGAGAGATGTTGAAGAATCCCTTAAAAGCGACTAATTATGGCCAGACTTGGAGAATGCCTGTGTACATTTCACATGTTCTTTGCAATCAAATTGTTTGACATAATTTGAAAGCACAGTCAGTTCCCAATCTAACTGCAGAACTTTTAAGAGGATTGTTTTATATATATTGAGTTCTATATATACTCAGTGTGACATATTTAGATGCTTAGTTACAATAATTCCTACATAAAGGAGACACAGTGAAACTGCCCACTTCAAAAGAGCTTTGTAACAACAAAAGCTTGTTTTATAAACGCCCACCCTATGTCCTGTGCAAGTCTTCCTGGCCCTCCACATCCCCATGGTGCAGTCTGGCAGCCTGCCAACCACGGCTGTGACAAGAAGCAGCCCTCCATGGATGATCACACTTCAGAGCTGCACACCACCTCAGAGCTCACGTGGATGATCACACCATCTCAGAGCTCACGTGGATGATCACACCATCTCGGCGCTGCACATGGATGATCACACCACCTCAGAGCTGCATGTGGATGATCCCACCAACTCAGAGCTCACGTGGGTGATCACACCACCTTAGAGTTGCAGGTGGATGATCACACCACTTCAGAGCTGCACGTGGATGATCACACCACCTCAGAGCTGCACGTGGATGATCACACCACCTTAGAGTTGCAGGTGGATGATCACACCACCTCAGAGCTCACGTGGATGATCACACCACCTCAGAGCTCACGTGGATGATCACACCACCTCAGAGCTGCACGTGGATGATCACACCACCTCAGAGCTCACATGGATGATCCCACCACCTTAGAGTTGCAGGTGGATGATCACACCATTTCAGAGTTCACAAGGATGATCACACCACCTCGGAGCTGCACATGGATGATCACACCACCTCAGAGTTCATGTGGATGATCACACCATCTCGGGATGATCACACCACCTCAGAGCTCACATGGATGATCCCACCACCTTAGAGTTGCAGGTGGATGATCACACCATTTCAGAGTTCACAAGGATGATCACACCCACCTCGAGCTGCACATGGATGATCACACCACCTCAGAGTTCACGTGGATGATCACACCATCTCAGAGCTGCAGAGGTCGGGAGGAGACTTCCAAATTGGGGGGCCCCAGTACCAACTGTGTGACCCTGAGCCTCAGGCTAGAGACCACAGATCACCCGCCTTCTGATGAATGAGGGAAGAGTCAGTCTAGGAACGAGCACTAGACGAATGCAGCGATGATGAGGGGAAAGGATGACTGCCATTACCAACGACAATAAGAATAACGACAGAAACTGTGGGAGCCAACAGGAACCTAGGCCCCATGACACTAAACAGAATGTGGGGTCCTGAGGTAGGAGGAAACTGAGCAAATCTGACCAAAGTACGGGCTTGAGTTAATAACAGTACATCGACATTGGGTCATTGATTGTAACAAACACACCATACTAGGAAAGATGGTAATAATCAGGAAAACAGGGGGTGGGGTGGAGGG